GTTCGTCGGCCAAGGATGGCCAGTTTCGCCAAAGTGCTTTGTAGGTTTAGAGTTAGGGCGTGGTCACCAAGATGCCGATTCGTGCTCCTGTGACTGGGTCTGCGCTTCCTGTCAGGTTTCCTCAACCGAAGTTGCAGTCCCCGTCATTGGAACTCATCCCGTAGACAACTGCTGCTGTTTCAAGGAGTGGCAGTGTGTCCCTGGGCTGCAATATGGCTTTCAAGAGATGAAAGTGGATACATCTCGCCCGATTAATCGTCGCAGATAGGTGACTGCGGAACTGGTGCTCTGTACCATCACTGAGGAAGGAAAGCGCGGCGTTTTCACAATCAACCCTTTTTGGCACTCGCTTACCTCGGCTAAAAAGAAGACGTTTTGGACAAGGCATGGAAGTTTCTCGGCTCGTGAGAGAAAATGTGGAAGTTTTCAACAGAAATTAAAAAATAAACATTCATTTATTAGTTTTTCTAGTATCCGGGCAAGTTTTCTGCTTCTCTTAGTTAACAAAAACATTCATGATGGTGGTTCGCGAGACTGAGGCATTTCGCTCCTTTATGTATTCTAACTGCGGATCCAGGGCAGGCACTTACGTGAAGAAATCGAAAACAATAATAAAGAGACCAATGATAGTTGAATGAGGGGATATTTTTACAGTACGGCTCCAAATTCGTGCAACATGCCGACATTTGCGAAAGATTGATACTCTTTCGTTAATCGGCATTGGGTAAGGTTGTAATACCGGTTATCGCGTAGTCTATTCTGAAGTCATTTCAGTGACGATAGGATGTCGGCTTTTCAACGAGCTTCTTTCTGACCGTTAACAAAACGTGCATAATGTAAAAAGTGGCTAATTAAGTAGTATGCATTTTTATCATTGGTTTTGACTGCCTTTATAAATTCAAATATATTTTATGGGAAAGATAAACGAAAAAATTATTTATGGTACTCGTTTGTTAGGAAATTACGCCTTCTTTAAATCTGATATTGAAAGAAAGGGTATCTTTCGGTTTCGAAAGGGTTTTTAAATTGCCGAATAATTTTGAAACCTACTGACCGCTACGCTTCAATTCAAGGTTAACAAACTGCGCGCTGTGTACATCCTGTTTACGTATTAGTACGTTCTTGCCTACGGTTTGAGGAAGGAGTCACATAGTTCTCATAACATTTTGCGATCTATGTGGATCATGCATCATACATTATAGGCATTATACATTGTAGGCAGCATTTATAAATTGACGGACACGATGTATTGTGAAGAAATACCTCACAATCATAAAAAATCTCATAAACAGACATTTGTCTAAAACAGAAGGATATGCTTTATTCAAGTACAAAACTTAAAGAAGGCGTAATTTTCTACCAAACGAGTACAAGAAAAGAGTCTTTCGTGCGTGCTTTCCATAAAATATAGTTGAATTTATAAAGACAGTCAACATCAATCATAAAAATGCATACTACTTAAGTTGCCATTCCTTAGGGTACATACCTTTTGTTAGCGGTCAGAAGGAAGCTCGTTAAAAAGCCAGCATCCTATCTTTTCTCAAATTACTGGAGAATAAGCTACACGTTACTCAATCTTACAACCTTACTCAATGCCGATAAGCGAGCGAGTATCAGTCCTTCGCAAATGTCGGCATGTTGCACGAATTCTAGGCCATACTGTAAAGTCAATGTAAGTTAGGGTTAGTTTTATGGTGGGGTCTAGGGTTTATGTTGGCTTAAGTATTAGTGTCTAAGGTAGGTACAGGCATAATATCAGGATTACCGTTTGGGTGTATGTACATTTAACCGTCAGAAAACTCTATAGTTGGGGCTTTATCACGTACTTTTTGGCATAACCTCTGAACCAAGTGTCCCCTTCTAGTTTGGCGTAATTCTAATTGCCGGTCGACTATGTTTCGCTGATCACTTACGCTTTTACAAGCGGGCATATTCGTCAACTTATTGGCCTCCTCGCCTGCCCCGTCCCTCTCTAGCTACCATGGGCTACCAACCAACCAACCCTCTAGCTGTCAGACCAATTCGTCCGGCTTGTCACTTCCTCTCCCCACCGATAAACAGTGCTGATATCGTTCTTCTGCTGGCACATATGCGTCCCCCTTTTGAGTGTCGACGTCTGCGCGCAGCCTATGTAGGTTTAAATTGGGGCGACTGCAATAATGTCCGTGGGCTACTGCACCCGCGTCATGATTCCTGGGAAAAGCCGCGCGTCCGGTTTACGTTGACAAATTATCCAGGGCATAGGCTACAGAATCTGGCGTCCGAGCGAGAGACAAGTGTATATTGCCCACTTGATCTTCCAGGCAGTTTCACAAGGCAAAACCTCCGTCATGATACTGGTGCGGCAGATGCCTGCCACTTGGATGCATATGCCTACTTGTCGTCTTATGCGGGTGTGCCCGCTGTTGATGCTTGCATCAGTGCGGGCTCGTTGTACAAGACGGCCTGCCTCTACCGGATGCAATTTACGAACGATTAAGGCTTATTGCTTCATCCCCTGCTCAAGCATTGGTTTGTTTGCGTGAATCCAATAGAACTATAAAGAGCAAACTGCACGCATGCTCGGATCGCGCATACATGAACATAAACTTACGGTCCGACTAGGCGACGAATTATCACAAGTTGCAGCGCATACCTATGAAACAGACTATGAGTTCAACTTTGCGGCCGTCAAGATGCTCGCTCATGGCGGGAACAAGCTGAGCCGTATATTGATCAAAGTTTGGTTCACGGAAAAGTATTTGATCAACCGGCGTGTCGAGTTAGCGCCGGCGTGAGCCTTGCGCAGTCACGTTCAGTCACAGTTAACTGGCCCACATCCTCTATAAGTAGCCTTTTTTTCGGTGCTGACGACCTGACGAACTTTGACATCACTGACAATTAATTAACGTATACCCCCTCGCCTCCTTTTCGATCGTTTTGTCTTATCCCTTAGGACCTGACGACCCCTGACAGCTGACTGGCATACACGCACTATAATTACCCCCCTTTTTGTTGCTGTTTCTTACGTCTGACGATAGACTCCTGTAAGAGCTCAGTAGCTCAGGACAACGAACAGATTGATCCGGTGCTCGGCAACCCTTCTTCCTCAATAGGAGCATATTTAACTACCGAAAGCAGGGGTGCAGGGCCGTACATGGGACGTTTGCGTCGTTGAATCCGCATTGCTTACTAAATACGGTAAGCTAGTACAAAGAGTTATGTCGAACAATTGTAGCTTAAAAGGCGAATAAAGAAATGCAAGATTATGCAGTGAGGACACAGGGGATTAGTCAGCCGAATTCGTGCCTAAGCTCTAGCTTCCAGCGAAGGCTGAATAATGGGATGCAGAGGCGAAGAAATGGGGTGAGGGGGTGCCCCTAACAGCAGTCCAGTTGGAGGTTGTTTATGTGACCCTCCTATCCAGCAGGACAGGACGATAGGAACTATCCGTTATGCCGGTGTCACTGCGTGAACTTGGACTTCGTGTTCCGGCGAAACGAAAATTAAGATAAGAATTAAAATCAAGGTTTGGACTAGAAATATTTCACTGGATAGGCATCTTCCCTGAAAGTTAGCAGAATGCCAGCGGGGACGGTGTTCCTCTGCCCTATTTCTGCCCAAGGAGCCCATCGAAATCAAAGAGTAAGTTCAAATAGGGTGCCATCATCATCTCCGACAGTGTGTAAGCATCCAAGAAGTCAAGTCCGGCGAAAGTACCTTTTAGATTGCTAAACATCAGACATTTACAATAGTTTAAGGGAGGTTAGAGTGCAAAGAGTTGGAACATCCAATCATAATTAAGTAAGGGGGAGAGCGGTGAGGGGGCTCCGGGATCAACAGATCAGATTATAGTCTTATATAGGAGTCATGGCAATGGGAATGTGTCCGACAGTTAGTTCATGCTTCTGAGTCGTCACTGTAACGCGACGCAATGGGAGGTGTGAATACGCATGCTGGGTTAGTCTTCGGTCAGGGAGGCCTACAATGCGGGAGTATGAAGAGTAGATAAAATCAACACTCGTGAATTGTTGATACCAATAGCTGAGAAGAAACCGACTAAACATAGAGCATATTAAGAAATAAAATTAGGAAAAACTCAAAGAATTGCGTCAAAGTAAGGCAATAGGCATCACCAAATCGGAAGAAGGCTCTGGTCTCGTTCTAATGAATAAAAGTGTTTACTTTTCCAAGACCGAACCAATCCTGGATGATGACACTAAATTCAAAAGAGAGAACCAAAATCAGGATCAAACTAAGAACGTAGAAGTGCAACTTAAAAAATGTCTTCGGAAAGTGAAAGACTAAGGTTGCCTTAGTTAACAAGAGTCTGAAGCGCTTAAACCCACAGACGCAAACTCCACGAGGCTATGTGGTTTGCCAAGGCTTCACAAATCAGACTTTCTAACACGGTCGATATTAAATATGTGCAATTAACACTGTCCTACAATTGCAAAGTGGCTGGCAGAAAGGCGAAAACTGTTTTGAAACCAAATAGCACCACATGGTTTACGAGGAACGATTGAATTCATCGAGTCCATAAGAATTAGGACTCTCAATGGGAAGAAGATGCTTTCCTTGTGTGCCGCGCTTTTTTTCACTAATATTCTCCCCACGGATACCATAGAATTGTTGTGTGATGAGATTATAAAACGGGATTTCCTAATCGGCATGCTGGAGACCCAAAAGGATTGTTCTTTCGCTGCAAGCTAAGTGTGCACGTCAGTTTCGATGGCCAGTTTTACCGCCAAATCGATGGTGTATCGGTGGGATTACCCCTTGGACCTCTACTAGCTGATACCTTCATAGGAAAGGTAGAAAACAAAAAACTGCCTCCAATTATAAAGCACCTGTCGTCCTGTGTCCGATATGTAGACGATATTTTTGCAATATCAGATGGAAGACTTGAATTCGACATCATCTTGTATAAAGTGAATCAGGTCCACCCAGCGTCACCCTTTACGTTGGAAAAAGAGAACAGAGAGTGTCTCTCCTTTCTGGGCGTCCCACTTAGTAAACCACCTGATCAACTAATTATTAGCAGTGCATTTCGCAAGACATAATGGACACGACAATACAGTTTGACCCCGCTAAGTCAGAAACGAGGTCTATCCCAGGGCTTCACGAGCGGAGCTAAAAGAATATTTTCTCTAAATAAACTAAAAAAACGAACTCGTCACTGCATAAAACACCGCGAT